CTGTAATGTGAGAGAACTGTTAAAGATTATATAAAAAAATGTTGTGCACCTAGCATGTTTGATCTTACCTTTACGCCATGATAGTGCAAAAGAAAAGGCGTCTTTTAATATTTTAATCTAAAAAAAAATGTCATAACCTTCATTTTATCATTTTTCATTTTTAAGGTGTCTTGTAGCAATTACGAGGAAGAACAATTACAATATGACGGTCGACTACAATTTTTATCAATTTAGGAGATAACATTTGACGAAACGTGACAGAGTGATGCAATTTAAAGTAAAATTAAAGTTCAGTAAATTAAAATATAATTACCACCCACTGTAAGCTTCACGTTTGGTTTAGAATTGAATTTGAAATTAGAAGGCATTTAATATGAATATCGTTGAGATATATTATTCCTATATTTTTCAGTTTCTATGCGTGGCTGGCTCTATCTTAGCCAATCCCCGGACTTTTGTGAAATCTTGGAACTACTGATGGAGAGAGTACCAAGTTTTACTCCAAACACCACCAACTAAAATCCTAATCCTATTATGGATGAATATAATTATGTAAAGTAATTTGGCAAAGATATTTTGTGCGTTGTTATGTACAGATCGAGTAAGATGTAATATGGAACTATCTCCACTTTGTACATACAACATTATTGTTATTATTTATGAGATTGATAATTGAAGTATGTCCATTTAATAATATCAAAATGGCTATGAAAAATAGAATCATGCATTACGTCCTAACAATCAAAATATGTGCTACAATTTTGAATTGAACTATTTAGGGGCTATTCTCTTCGTGTTTTAATTTTGTAGTTTTGATTTTTGAATTCATTTTTAGTTTTGTGTTTTGAGTGCCTGCTTTGAAATTTCTAAGAATGCGTTCTTTTTGCCATTTTGGAACCATTTCCCGTGTTTTCAATTTTTTCTAGTTTTTTATTGAAAACGTTCAAAATGACAAAAATGTTGTTTTGTGTTTTCTTTACAATTTTTTTTCGTTTTCAAAAATGGGAAAGAAAACGTGTTTTCACCGTTTTGAAAAATCGAAAACAGAAAACGGCCCGAAAAACACCCTTAGTTTTTGTTTTATATCTTAGTTTATTATTTTCATTCTTTGTAATTTCTTTAAGTAGAGACTCACTTCATATTGCTATTTAGTTGGATATTTTCTAATTTACAAGTATTTTTGGTCCAAAAATACAAGTATTTACAAGTAACTTTTTGAAAATAATTAGTCTGACAAAATTGTTTTCATAAACAAAACAATATGATGGAATGGAAATAACAGGCAAAGCTTTTTTGTACTTTTTGAAAAAATAATTCACAAAATTTATTTAAGATATATTCCACAATTAGGGTGAAATTTAAATGATCATGAAGTGACAATTTATTCAATTTGAAAGTTAGATAATTTTTATTTTCATAAGATAAATTAAAGTTATATAATTAATTGCTCTATCCTTCTTCTCAAGTGTTGTATCGCATGTTCAATAATAAATAAAAAATAAGCATAGTGCTAAAATTGCAAATTCAGAAGAAAGCTACAATTTTAGTGCTATTTGTCTCAATGTCTCCATGTATAAGCCAAGGCTGATGTTACTACAATTGAGATACATTTTCGAACAAATATTATCGTAATTCAAATTTAAAATAATTTTTATTTATCCCTATGAATAATGTTGTATAGCATCATGGTGCTTAGTAGCAGTGTGGTCCATAAGAGCATCTATAAGAAACTTGTTAAACATTAGGTTCTCTATTTTAAACAGTCAACTTTTAAAATCATGCTCCAAAAAACTCAATAAATTAACATTTTAATTTAGAGAGTGGTTCGAAATATTTCAATTTTCAATACAGGAAAATCATAAAATAATTTAGAAAAAAGCTAGTTAAAATAAATGATAGAGAAAAATAATAAATATTTTTTTGGAATAGTAAAATTTAGTATTAAGTATAAAGAGTTTGTTGAAGTACTTTAAAATTTTAATTCTTTAAATTTATAGATACTTTCCAAATGATAGAATATAATCTTTAGAAATATAGAGTCTCTTAAAAATGTTCTAATTAATTAAAAACTGTTAAATTTTAGCTGGCTGTATGATATGGACTCCATTGCTATCTAAATTGCTATTGATGCAGTGCTATACAGTGATGAAGCCTACACTCAGCCCATGCTGGGTTCATTGAGAAATTTCTTTTTCCCTACTCAAATGGATAAGCTTCTGCTCACACGAATTTTTGGATCCGCTAGGGCTAGATATGGCCCGGTTCGATTTGGTTCTTGTTAGAATCGAATTGAACCCAAAATTTTTGGGTATTTATTAAATAGAACCATCGAGTCCAAATTTAATTAAAAACCATTCGGGTTCGGTTTCATTCGGTTTCGAATTTCTGTATTATAATTAATTTTTTTAATATTTACAAAGTTACATTAATTCAACTAATGATATGCTCAATCTTAGCTCTTACAAAATAATGTAGCACAATCTTATGTGTCTTTTGCGTTTCTCTTTGTTGTGTTCTTTGTTAATTTGATTATTAAAATTACAGGAAGAATAAGATAGCGAACTCAGAATAATTAAGAGAGACGTTGTTAACCTTCAATTCGATTTCTCCAGAACGATAAAAACGGCACTATATTAAAGTAATAAATTTGGACAAAACTTATGTCAATTTAATTAAGTTGACTTTGAACTGAAAATTAAAAATAGGAAAATTATATTTTTGGGTTTGAACTAAATTCATTAGTTAGTAAATTTATTTAAAAAATTTTAATTTAGAAAATTAGAGAGATTCAATTCTTATTCGGTTCTTAATCTAGAACCGATAACCAAACCAAATCTGTCTATTCTCGACTCAGATATCCGTTCGAATATTTAACTTAAAAAGAATCGCTCGATATGATTTAATTCAATTCAATTTGAGTTCCATTCGATTGCTTCGGGAGTTTTGTCAACTCTAAGATCCGCCGCTGGTGCTATATAGCTTTAGTGGC